TTATCAGATAAAGGTCTGGGACATAGAGTGTGCTAGAAAGTCTGTCCCCATTGCATAGATTTCAGGTGTAACTAATAGTGAAAAACACATGCAAAGCTATCAGCTGTCAATTTCTTGGTTTCTTTATAATACAATTTCATAACTAATTTCCCCCCTTTAATTTTCAGGTGATAGAAGGATTAAATGAAAAGTAGTGCCTACACCTCCATAACTTTAGTTTAAATATGAATATTATAATAAATGAAACAGGAAAATAATTCTTGAAATGAGCCCTTTCATAACTTGATTTTTTTTCTCCACATATTCACCATTTATGCCATTTCCCTCTAGCATTGAAGATGCTACCTAGTTGGGTAATGAAATATCTGTGACTTCTGGTTCCAGTTTGCGGCGACTGAGGTCGTGTGAAAAGACTTGTCTCTTCACCGGCCGATTTTCCTTTGCCGGTAGACCCCGAGGGGGTTGAAAGTCACCCTGGAGGAGTGACCACCGAGGAGGAGGCTTGCTGGTGACTGCGGGAAGGTGGCAGCTTCTCCTGCAGCTCCAGATGACTCCTTAAGGCGGACGGAGCAAAGATCGTCCTGCAAGATGGCCGATCATCTAGCTGCACCAGCCGAAGTCAAAAGAACAGCTAAGCGTGAAGAAACCACCGCAGAGAAATCTGGGTGAGACTTTTTTCCCCCTCTTACCCCCAATTATTTTTTCTGCAAAGAGCCTTTGGATGACTTCCGTGCCCTAAGAAAGCGGCGTTCGTCTATTTGGGGAAAAATATTTTGAATAAAACTATAGAACAGCATTTATTGGACTTTTAACTTTTTGGATACTTGGGACCCCTGGAAAAACTTGTATTATAGAGCATTATTCTACTTATTATATTGAAGATATTTGCTTTTCTCTGCCTTCTTTTTCCTTATTCTCAAAATGAGATAAAAGCTTTTAACTTGGAAAGAAAAGTGTTACTGCAATTGTAATGTTTTTAGGTGTTTGAAGATGGATTTGACTTTCAAATAATAACAAAAGGGAAAAGATAAAGGCTTGGAAATAGCTGTGGGTTGACTTTGGAGGCGGACGTTTATTGACTTTTAATAAATATAGTTTCCACTAAAAGACTAAAAGACTATTTTACTATGGAAATGGAAGAATTTTACCCACAGCTTGATTATGAGTTTATACTGGAAAAAATATTGGAAGCTACAGAGTATATGAAATCATGGAGAAAAATTAAAGATCATTTTGCAGAACCACAACTGAGCCTGAAATTTTAAAAGATCAACCTATAGGCCAAGAAGAAGCCTGTATGCAACAGTGTACACAATTTAATGAGATGGAAGAAGAACCTACTGGCCAATTGAATTTTAGAAAAACTTTGGACCCAAAACTTTATTATTATTATTATTATTATTATTATTATTATTATTATTATTATTATAAAATCCCAGACTGAGACTTTAATTGATCATTCTACAAGTCAACTAATTACTACAGAAGAAGATATCTCACAAGTTTATGTACAAACTATGGCAAACTCTGTAGACCAAAGAATGACCTTAACTGAAACACTCTCACTTCTAAAACCAACAGGAACTATTGGATGCGATCTATTGGAAATTATGACAACTTGGATAATCAGGCTGTAATCACAATATGGAACAAAATTGGCTATATTACCTACATGATACTGGAAGATGAGGAGGAGAACTTTGACCAGAACAATTTGTTGATAAACACCAGTACTCAAATATTGAGATTCGATGACATAGATGCGGCATCATGGAAACCAGCTTGGCACAGAAAAAAAGCCAGAGTTAGATTTAAAAATGTGATTTAAAATCTCACTTATTGGGTCAAAAAGGCTTTAGAGATCTGGATTGATTTGACAATTAACTGAGTATGTGAAATTAGTAAGATGATAATTTGTGTAATGATATGTTTGTTTTAGACATGATAATTATTTTGGTTGAGATTTAAACTTTATTGAATGGGTTGAAATGTTTCTTTATTTTTTATTCTGGGTATATAGAAAATTACTTTGTAATAGAAGAAGAACTAGAGAGATTTACGATAAGAGAAGAAAAGGTATTAACCAATGATCTATTAAATTAAGAAATGGAATATATGTGAAAATATTAGAATGTTATTGTTGGAATACTATGTATGTTGTAGAAGGGATACCCAAAGTCTTATTAATATGTTTATTTAAGATGAATTTGGATATGTTAATCAAAATTAGTGAAGCTTAAAAGCAGAATGATGATTGTTTGGACTGACTGAATTTTATGAAGAAATGGATTAAACTAAATTTGTTATATCATGTGAGGGAAATAGAGAGGAAAATCTTTAATGTACTAACTTCAGTTATATATGTATGACTTTATCTTTGGATGATTGATTTCCCCTCCACCACAGTGTTTTCTTGAGCATTCTGATGTAAAAATTAAAAAACCAATAAAATTTGTTGGAAAAAAAAAACATCTGCAAGAAAACAACCAAGCTCAAGAGAGCATCACAATCAAATTTGTTGTACATTTCTGCCATTGACAGACAACCTTCTTAAAGCCATCATGAAAGAATTCTACACTTTGTCTCTTGACAGTCCTTTCTATCTCTTCATTTGAGTGAAGCAGATGCTCATAAAGGCGATTTAAAAAATGGGAAAAGGAAGAAATTATAAGGTGCCAGGTTTGGACTATTTGGTGGATGGGTAATGCACACACAACTTTGCAATTGCTTCTTGAGTGACTTACAAAGTGAGGTTTAGTATGCTGCAGCACAAATTTATTCTATACTTCCAAACTTTACTTAATCCTAGTTTCAAAGTTTTGAGTGTTGCAGTTTAATGTTCTTTGTTGATAGTAGTGCCAGGTTAAAAAAAACTCTATGTAAATAAAACCATCTGCATCCCCAAATCTATAACTTTTAAGTTTTCCTTCCAGTGTCTAGCTTTGAATTTTTTCCCCACAAGTGAATCTTTCTTCCTGATGATATTTCATGGACTGACAATTTGTGATGAGTCTCTATTTTGCTGGCTATCATAATTCTGCTGTGAAGAAATTCTTTATTCTCATAGCATATGTGGTGGAATCTGATGCTGAGATGTAGGAGGGAGGGTTTTTTTCTTTCCAAGGAGCTAAGAGGCAGATCAGTCTTGAGTCCTTACTTTGCAGAAAGAGGCCCAGAAGGGATCATCCTTAAATTTTCACATGATTTATCCCTTACTTATTCAAAGCGTAACAGTGTCTGTCAGGATTCTTGTCTATGGCAAACAGCATTAAAGAAACTACTCTGAGCAATTCATCTTGTTGTTCTTAGTTTCTTGTGCCTAATAGCATGACAGCTGCTTGCAAATTTCAAATTTTTAAGGTTTCAACTCTGTCGTGGCATGCAAGGGACCCATCTTGCACAAACTTTTTGAATTTGACAAACATCAACACTGTGTTCCACATGTTTCTGTGAAATGCCAAGGTTGCCAGTAGTTTCACTTTGAGTGATTGCACTTTATCAGTTCATCAGCTTTTCTTATTGATTGTTCTCTCTGATTCACCATCTATACGTACAGCAGTACATATTATTTCACGTCAACACAACAATCAAGATAAACATCCTGCATTAAGTGCTGAATGCAAGGACTCTTTCAGCAATCAAAATTTCCATCAGGATGCACTGCTTAAAATATGCTGATGACTGACTGCAGGCTTCTGTTGCACAAACCATGGCAACACAAACTTTTTCAATAACAACTTCAGATTAACTGAGGTGAAAGAACAAATGCTAAAGAACACATAGGAGCTTCTAGTGCATTGCTGTTGCCATATTTTGGTAATTTGTAACACTCAAAGCACTTTTCATTCAATCATCCTATTATACTGTAATCACAGGAATGATATGTATATTTTTCATCTCTTAATGAAATTTTTCACATGCACACATATATGTATGTATGTGTATATATATATATATATTTATGTATGTATGTGTGTGTGTGTGTATGTAGCATGATGTAATAATCCCATAGCATGATATAATAATCCTTTTTGAAAAGGTAAATAGGAAAATGAAGTGCTCTGCCCCCAGTCCCTCATGCAGGTTCCCTATGTGCCTCTTGCACCAGTAGAATGAAGCTACACACTGATGCTCAAGAGTCAGCTCATTTCCACTTCCCAATGCAATTAGCTCAGCGCATTAAACTATAATAAAGGTGCTCATGGGTTGGCAAGATCTGGGAATTCACACATTTTGTGCATCCAATCTTTTTGGCAGGTGGGACTGGTTTCCTGGAAGACAGTTCTTCCATGGACCAGGGAGGAGGAGAAGGAGGAGTGTGCCACCTCATTCCTTGTATGTGTAGTTTACAGTAAGGTTCGCACTCCTATAAGAATTTAATGCTTGATTATCTGAAGCGGAGCTGAGGTGGTGATGGTAGCACTGGAGAGTGGCTGCAAATACAGATGAAGCTTTGCTTACTCGCCCACCGCTTACCTCCAGTTGTGCGGCACAGTTCCTAACAACTCCTAACGGTATTGGTCTGTGGCCCAGGGGTTGGGGACCCCTGTTATAAACCAGTGACCTGGTGTGTGTAACTACGGCTTGTTCAACTAGTCCACATTTACACAGCTGCTTTGCCCTGTTTCCCTCCTATTCAGAGGCACAGGAATTCATGCTGTCGTATATCTTGTTTGTCCCCATAGAGCAGAAGTCTCTACTGTACTATTGTACTGTACTATTGTCCAGGGAATTTTAACATGCAATATTTTAATATTTTAAGGGCCAGGATTTGTAGTTTTATCAGCTGAAATTCCAGCCCTGACCATTATGATCCACCATGTGAAAAGTCTTTTCCAAGTGGCAAGCCCAACACACTTGTTATTCCATGCATTATGTTTTTTTCCTCTTTTATTGTACTCTTGATCAATAGATATTTTCCCTCTGTTCTATGAAACTGTCAGTCAGCCAGATGATTATTAGTTAGAGGTTTTCTAATACTTGACTGCCATTTAGTTGTCCAGTTATGTGCAACTGCCGGATCAAACCTAGAACATTTTGCATGCTTAAGCATTGGGTTGCCTCCAATAAGTTAGCAGCAAGATGCATTCTTTATTATTAGACATTTAGCAAAATCTGGAATGTTCTTACAGGAGGCTAAACATTAAATATCTAAACTTGCAAAATTCTCTGGTTGGGTCACACATTTTGCTAAATCATCCTGTAATTTGTTTGCTTTGACTTAAACCTCACACAGCCCCTATAATCAATTGAATGAATAATGGTTAAAGAAACTAAGTCATTGGCTCATCTTATTAAATAGAGGATGCAAAGTAGTAAAATATCAGTTACAGAACATCATGGATCAGTCTTTTCAGATGACTGTAAGTATTAAAAAATGCACGCATATATTTTCTAGAAACAAACATTTAGCAGAATTCTGGAATATACCTGTATTCTAGTTTACACACACTATAAAAATAGCTAAAAACTAAACACTTTCTTGCTCTTTTTTCAGAGAATATCTCCATAATATCTGAGCTGCAGAAATATCAAAGGCTGACCATAACTGTTTCATTGCACAGGATCAGTGGAGAAAAATATAATAAGCCACTAAAGATTAATATAACACTCAACCAACAATGTCCAGACAGATGTGACCAGGAAATCCAGAGGTGTCACTGTAGGCTTTGTATGTGTCTTAATTCTTTTTCTTTTAATCACAGTAATGAATTGTGTGGAAAAATCATAGATTTTGTTTATATTAAGTTGAAACCCATGTGTTTTAACTGTAATGGCAGGCTGAAAGGAAATAATTCTGCAATCTCTTTGACATTGTTCAGTGCAATCTTTTACAGGTCTACCTGGAATTCAATTTTTGTTGCGGAAAATGAATTTTGACCAAGTGGAACAATAGCAGATCCATGATGATCATCTGTGCAGCCCAAATTCTGGCAATTAGCTGCAGTCAAAAAGAAAAAAGGCAAGTTATTTTTCTTCATTTTTCTCAATTTTTGTGTTCACCCTCACACAGCATTCCTATTGTGGGCAATGTATAGCAGAGAATTAATAAAGCGAAGAAACTGCAAATATGTCACTTACATGTTGCCTCAGGCTCACACCATTTCACATTTCATAAATTCAGCAGATATTGCCAAGATTTTGATGATTTCATCTTGGGATCTTATAAGAGTTGGTGCAACAGTGCCAAATTCTTATAGTCTTTCATGTGAAGTTTCAGAAATGATTTGAATCATTTCAAACAGTATTTATATTATAATTTTAACTTTGGGTGGACTGCTGATGGCAATTCAGGGGAAAAGGAAAGACATGTGGTCTTTGCAAGCACTGTATTGCTGCCTCCCATCTAGGTTTGTTGGCATATATGTTGAGGAATGGGACAAAGGAGTAGAATATGATCCACAGTGATTCTTAATATCCAAGCATCTTAACCTTCCACTGCTGGTGTACAGAAATAGAACTTTTGGAATTGTATTGGGAAGAGCTGATTGAGAGCAACCTCTACCAAAGGTTGCCCACTGTGCCAGCATTTCCCCACCTCCATTGGTCAAATGTCTGGGAATTGCTATTTAAGGCCCATCGGTTCTAATTCCAGGGAGAACAAAGTTGCTCCCTTATTTATTTATTTTTTTAAAAAATTGAAACTAGGCTTTGCAGTACTTAGGATTTGAAAGCAAAGAATTCCAGAGCGCCCTGAAGAGGGAAGAAGCTGTTCTTTCTGCCAATCCGGATGCCAAATGGATCTTTTCCTAGAATCCCATGTAGAGCTCAAGAAAGCAGCTGCAGTCCCAGGTCTAAAAAGCTGAGAGAGTTGCAGTCCAAAACTTTGTGTGCTCATATTAGAAATTCACAGCCACTATAACTGTTCTTCAGAGGAAGATGTTACACTTCAGCTGCCCTTCCTTTAGCTCCTGCCAGCTCTGATATACCCATTCTGAGGTGGGGCTATCAGAAAGACACCCAAACTTCAAAGGTACATATGCATGTACCAAAATATTCAGTGTATTTTTTTTTCTGCTGTTGAATCAGTTTGGCTTGAATAAGCTTCAGAATTTTTGATGGCCTGGATGCTATTGTTCATTCTGTTGCTTTTAACTCTTGGAGAACAATCCAGACATCATTTTTCCTAAATTGTCTGTCAATAACCACTTCTTTATAAACTCCCATCTGTGTCATTATTAATAGCTTCTAATTATACCTCTTTTTTCTCTTTAGCTTTTTCCAAGTGTCAAGAGTCTTTTCAAGCTATTCTTGCCTTTTTATTACCTCTCCAAAATATTGAACATTTGAGCTTTCTTATTAGTGTTTCTAGTTAGCATTCTGGTGTTACTTCAATCAGTCTTCAACAATCTGTTCTTCTGCCATTCCCAGGCATTCTCATAAATTCTGAAAAAAATATGCCCATTATTATAACTCCAAGGCATCATTTTTTCTTTGTTCAGCATTTCTGATGGCCCATCTCTCACAGCTGTATGTTACAACTATGTAAACTATGGCTTTGACTATATGCACTTGCATTGAGAACCAATTCATATTTCCTCTTCAAATCATTTTTATTTTAAAAGATCAAGCATCTTACAAATTTACCAAACTGTTATGTTTTGGGGACAGTTAAAAAATAATTAAATTATTTTCAATCTTGAACCTTTCTCTAGGAAAGGTAACTGTTGCAAAACTCAGCCAATCCATTGTCTTTAGTTGCATAAGCTACAAACAAAATGAATATGCTCCCTCCCAGGCTCAAAGCGTTAAGCTATAATTGGATTTTAATGAATGTTTGAATGCACCCAACTTTATTTAACGGAAATATAGCAGTCAAAATGTTTGCTTTTCAACCATTTGCTTTAAAGAACCTCCAGTTTAAACATTTGTTCAAGATTACAATGACACTTTGATTGTCAATGTAAGAATTGTTCCTTTTCAAGGCTTTCTCTAGCTTTACAATATATATCTCTGTTTAGAGGGGCCAACAAACAAGTGCAAATTGCTCTAAGTGTGGACACACAGTACACCTGTCACAAATCTACCACAGAGAGCAATGAGAAAGAGAAATAATTTGCATAGCAGCTTTTTCTAGTCCATATCCCTGAAAGTTTCTATTCCATATTCTGTACCTGTCTTCCATGATTCCATGGTTGGTCATTTAGTATCAGCTCCCATGCTTGGGGAGGGGTTCACACATTCAGAAAAAATTCCTCTTCTCCTTCTCACCTTTTAATCATTTAAACCATATATTTGCAGCATGCAAATAAAATTTGTTGGTAGGAAAGGTAATTGGAACTCAAAGTGGCCAGTATCACTGGTAGAATATTTGGACTTAAAAATGCATTTTTAAATGCTTCTGTGCAAATGGATCCCACCGGTCAAGTAAATTGTCACTGTAATGTGAATGAGTCCTGTGACAACTGCATCTTGGGTTTTTCAAGAAGCACCAAATCCAGAACAGAGTCTACCAATGAAGCTCCAGCCAGTATCACAGAGTCACCTTGGTCCCTCTTTTCAACCTTAATAAACGTTGACTTGTAATACTTTGGCTCTGAAGACCAGGAGGTGCCCCAAGAAGAAGTCCAGTTCATTTCCAGCTCCAGCCCATTTATCGTATTTCATTGGATTCTTTCCTCTGCCAAGTTCCCAAGAGCTGATCCTGGAAATGCAGATCCTTCTTCAAACTCAGCCTCCTAGAAAACCGCTGGAGCAAACTGCGAAATATGGATGTCCGAAAAATGATGAAGACCCAGGGATCCACAATGGAATTGACAGAGAAAAAACGGAGGGCTGTAAGATCGGCTGCCTCATTTGCATCAGGGGCAAAAGCTCCAATGTAAGCTCGGATCTGTAAGAGGTAAGAGACAGAAAGAAAGAGTGACTTAGAATTGATTGGACTGTTGCATAATGAAAAGTATTCCATAGGAATGCCTGGGGATCTTGTAGGGAACCACAGCAATGATCTCAGAGAAGAACAGAACGGAATCCAAAAGGTGCTTTTTCACAAGGCAACTGGACTTCCTTGTTTTTCTTTGAAGACATTTCGCTTCTCATCCAAGAAGCTACTTCAGCTCTTCTTGGATGAGAAATAAAATGTCTTCAAAGAAAAACAAGAAAGCCAAGTTGCCTTGTGAAAAAGCACCTTTGGGATAAGTATAACCTGAATGATTGAGAATCTCCATAGACAATAGAACTGAATATTCTTTACTGGCCAAGTGTGACTGGACACACAAGGAATTTGTCTCCGATGCATAAACTCTCAGTGTACATACAAGCAACAAAGTGATAAATCATAAATCATAAGATACAATCTTATGATTATAAATATAAGATATTCAGAGTCTGATAGCAAAATATAAATTAAGCCCAGGAAGAGAAGAAGGTATTAGAAAGAAAGTTAAAGTGACTCAACTTTGATTCTCTTTGGTGTAAGATGGAGGGAAGGGAAACATCATCAGGCTTTCAAGATTGTGATATTACAGTTTATATATCAATAAAGTCCTGGTATTCCTTGTGGAATCCTAATTTCCTAATTTGGCTTACCTCAAAGGGCTGACATGTTTTCCACCTATATTTAGACTATCCTTGAGGTATATAGGAAGACAGGCTATTAAAGTACATGGAATAAGTCACTTCTGAAGTTTCATTTATTGTCACCTAATAAAAACTTGGGCTTTAGAAATCATGATGTAACATTTTGCACACAATTTTTGCATTACTTATCAGCTTACTTAAATTGCCAAAATCTTGTACAGGTAGTCCTTCACTTACAACCACAATTGAGCCCAAAATTTCTGTTGCTAAGTCAGAACAGTTGTTAAGAGAGTTTTGCTTCTTTTTATGACTTTTCACTTAACGGTTATTAAGTGTATCACTGCAGTTGTTAAGTTAGTAACACGATTTTTAAGTGAATCTGGCTTTCCCATTGACTTTGTTGTCAGAAGGTTGCAAAAGGTGATCACGTGACCCTGAGACACTGCAACAGTTATAAATCATGCCAGTTGCCAAGCATCTGACTTTTGATCACACGACTATAGGGATGCTACATCAGTCATAAGGGTAAAAAATGGTCATAAGTTACTTTTTTCACTGCCATTTTAACTTTGAATTGTCACTAAACAAATGGTTTTAAATCAAGGACTACCTGTAATGAATCTGCAGTTCGCAATAACTATGCTGATTTATCAGAATAACAGATTTGGAAGGGACCTTGGAGATCTTCTAGTCCAATCCCCTGCTCAGGTAGGAAACCCTATACCATTTCAGACAAATGGCTGTCCAGTCTCTTCTTAAAAACTTCCAGTTTTGGAGCATTAACCGCTTCTGGAGGCAGATTGTTCCACTGATTAATTGTTCTAACAGTCAGGAAATTTCTCTTTAGTTCTAGGTTGCTTCTTTCCTTGATTAGTTTCAACCCGTTGCTTCTTGTCCTGCCTTCAGGTGCTTTGGAGAATAGCTTGAGTCCCTCTTCTTTGTGGCAGCCCCTGAGACATTGGAACACTGCTATCATGTTACCCCTCGTCCTTCTCTTCATTAGACTAGACATACCCAATTCCAGCAACCGTTCCTTATATGTTTTAGCTTCCAGTCATCTAATCATCATTGTTGCTCTTCTCTGTACTCTTTCTAGAGTCTCAACATCTTTTTTACATTGTGGTGACCAAAACTGGATGCAGTATTCCAAGTGTGGCCTTAACAAGGCATTGTAAAGTGATATTAGCATTTCACATGATCTTGATTCTATCTCTTTGTTAATGCAGCCTGGCATTGTGTTGGCTTTTTTGGAAGCTGCAGCACACTGCTGGCTCATATTTAAGTGATTGTCCACTAGGACTCCGAGATCCCTCTCACAGTTACTATAGGTACCAACTATACTGTACTACAGGTACCATTTATACTGTATTTATGCATTTGGTTTTTCTTGCCTAAATATAAAAGCTTACTTTTTTCACCATTGAATTTCATTTTGTTAGATAGTGCCCAATGTTCAAGTCTGTCCAGATTTTCCTGTATCTTAACCCTGTCTTCTGGAGTGTTGGCTATTCCTGCCAGCTTGGTGTTGTCTGCAGATTTGATGAGTTCACTATGAAAGATACTACCTTTAGCCACTCATGCAAACTGTTTCTGGGGATGTTAGTCTACTTCACAGGTGTCAAACAGGATTACATCACGTGATGTATTGTGATGTATTGCAATGTTTTTTGCGTTTGCGGAGCCGGGGTGTGTGTGGCCTGTGCATGACGTATCCAGCCCGCGGACCATCAGTTTGACACCCCTGGTCTACTGCAACAGCTCTCAAACTTGGCAATTCCAAGATGTGTGGATTTGAACTCCCACACATCTTAATGTTGCCAAATTTGAGAAACCCTTGTCTGGTGCGACAAAAGCAGCATAATGGTTGCATTGTACATTCAAGAAAGCAATGTTGTTGGTTACACGCACAGGCTGACCTGAGAAAATCTGTTATCTTTGTTCAGATAGAACTGAATTCTTGACTCGATGGCTAATTTTAAGAGGCTATGAGAACAAGGCTGTACATTTTACTATACAGGTTAATTCATTTCTTGTTGAATCTTGCTTTTATAAGTAATACATCACTTAAAATATATCAAGATTATCATTTTATTTACAAATACATTTATGTAGGCAGGAGTTATTCATTCAACATTTAGAAGTTTATATAATTAATTGCTTTCCCTGGCATGTAGCTTGGGGCTGCTTATGAGCAGAGAAGGCACTTTCTAGAGAGTTGGGGGCACATTCCAGTAATCCTAAAAGTGCAAGTGAATAAAGAACTTTTGTTGTATTTGTTGTCGATATGGTTTGGATTTCTGAGAGTTATAATTGCAATAATTCTGGAAGACTCTGAGCCAAGAAGGGGTTGGAAAGCCCAAGCCCAGTTGACAGAAAAGCTATCAACTGTTAAGTCTCTGTGTCTTAAAAGCTCCCCCTTGTGGGAGAAAAAAAGAAAAAGATTATTATATTAGCATTCCACTATAGCAGTGTTTCCCAAACTTGACAATTTTAAGGCATGAGGACTTCAACTCCCAGAATTCCACAGCCAGCAACGCTGGCTGTGGAATTCTGGGAGTTGAAGTCCACATGCCTTAAAATTGTCAAGTTTGGAAAACACTGCACTATAGAATAGACCTCCTAGATCAGTTTCTTAATCTTTGGGTTTCACAAACTCCCTTGAGAGTCTGATGACAGCACTTTTTAGAAAAATGCATTTAAATGCAGTTTTGCTCAAATTGTTATCAAAACGTTAAAAATAAGATACATATAATATAATAATAACAAGCTGTGAATTGGTTCACAGACCCCCTGAAATATGTCCATAAATCCCCAGTCAAGAACCCCTGCTTTACATCTCTGAACTGCAATTCCTATCTTCTTTCTGGAAGTATTAGCTTTGCTAATTGGCAACGAAGGGAGTTTCAGCCCAGCACATCTGGAAAGTAGCAAAATTTGGGAAAGGCCGAATTTTACCCTGAATGTTTTCCATGAGATCCATAATTTCTCTGACTCGAAGAGTCTCTAGTGTAAAAAGTAAAATTACGTTATTAGCAATTTTTTTTTAAAAAAATCAATCTGCAATACTCTGCAACATCTTTGCGCATTTTGTTTAATATCCCTTTTTAGAATTACAGTAGTTTCAAATCCTTATTATTTATACCACAATAAGGGTTGGGGGGAGGGCCTTGGAGGAAGCAATGCCCCCCCCCCGAGAAAAATATGAAATGATCAAATGCAAGCGATCAATAATTTTAATTCAAGATAGTAAAACTCATCAGTCCCGAGTTATTTCACTATTTGTAATTCACTAGCTTTATTGAACAATGGAGAACAAATTCCATGGGCATACAGATAATCCTCAACTTACAACCACAATTGGGACTCTAATCTCAATTGTTGAGCAAAACTGTCGTTAAATGAGGTGCTCACGTGATGCTTCACACAACTACTACAATCCTGGCCCTCCTGGTTGTAGTCAATAAGCAATCTCCTGGGTTGTTAAGTAATGGAGTGAAAGAGATGCCTGCTGAATTCAGCTCCCCTCTGTGTGTGAAAGGGAACTACTTCAGCAGGCTACAGGAATGGAACTCAGATCTTCAGGATCTTGGCTTCATTTCTGCTTCTCACTAGAGGAGTTCCGTTCCCCTCCATAAGTAGAAGGGAACTGTTCCAATGGGCAGCAGAAAATGCAGATCTTTGGGAAATGAGCTGTGTTTCTGAATCCTATTGGAGGAATTTGGCTCCCCTCCATGTGTGGAAAGGAATTGCTCTGGAAGGCTGTGGGAATGGAGCTCCAGTGTGGTGGGAGAATTGAGCTCAGACCTTGGGATCTGAACTCTGTTTCTGCCCACGCCAGAGGAGTTAGGCTTCCCTCCATGCATGGAAGGGAAGTGCTGTGGTAAGCTGTTTCTCCACCCCACTGAAGGAATTCAGCTTCAGCAGGCAGCTCTTTCAGCCAGTCTCCAGAGGCAAGGCGTCCTCTCAGCAAGTGGCAACTACTTGTAATCTTCCTGCTGGCTTCCCCATTGACTTTCTGGGGAAGCCATCAGAGAAGAATGCAAATGGCGATCACATGATTGTGGGACACTTGGCAACCAGTTGAACAGGTTGCCAAGCACTCACATTGTGATCACGTGACTGCAGGGGGTGGAGTGGGTGGTCACGGTGTGACATTCTGAAATTCTATTAATTTTCTAACATCGTAATTGAGTTTGCAATCCTAACATATCTGAAGAACATATACGGTATTTAGGGATGGCTACTTCTAACATATCTGAAGAACATATACGGTATTTAGGGATGGCTACTTCACTGCCTTATGTCCTGCATTACTGATGCTCTCATCTTTCTGGCAACTTAGACGTTCTACAGTAAGTTGAGCGTGTAAGCCAGTCAAGAACTACAGGTTCTAAGCAACTCATTCCAAAACTCCAATCACTTGCCATTCCTGAATATGATTCCCTTGGAGAAAATCTCCTGCTTGCATCCTCATCAACCCTACTGACCACATGCTTTTATTGTCACCTTAAAAGGGCAAGGAATGTCCCCTAGCAGTGTGATTCTCAGCAGGTTTTCATCACAAAAACAACAATGTACATTTTTACCCTGTTAAAACTTCCCAAAATTGCTTCTGATTTACAGATAGCCTAAAGACAATTACTGCTTTGCTTTCTATAAATTTGCTGCTACATCAGGAAAGCAGATAAAAAGATAACACACACATCCTCTGGTCTGCAGATATGTTTCTTTTTGTAGTCCTCATACGCTATAATATTTTCTATTTTTAGCAGGCACATTATTATTAAAAGTAGGTGCACCTCCCTGTGGAATGCAAGGAAATTTGAAACTGATTGTGATGTTCAGGATGAGAATGTGACAGAATCCAGATGGAGGATCTAGATGAGAGTTGGCATGACAGAATGTTCCCCAAAGTAAAACCTCACAACATGTAGAAAACCAGCACCCTCTTTCTCTAATAATAGTTTTCTACATGCAGGGAGGTTTTTCTTGTATGCAATCTCTTTAGACATTCTCAGCAAGTGTCCACTGAGCAATTGTATGGGCTCCTTCTGCACTCAGATATTTTTATTTTCATATACAAAACTTTTAAGTTCCTGAACTCTACTGCCACACTGGACCAGAATCTATAGTATGTTGATTTAGCAGGGGAAAAATTTCAGAATTTACAGAAGAAACCATTTAGCCTTCTCGACAGCAAACAAGATGACCATACAAAAGGAAGAAAAAAAAATCCATCTGTATAAATGTAGTCTGCAAGATTTTGTACTTTGGGGCTTTGATGAGTCATTCAAAAAAGAACTCTGTAAATGCATCAAACTGCAGGATGATAGAATGGCAGTCGTGCACTCACCTGCCTAATAGAGTTTCTGCCCTCCCAAGTAAAATCCAAGGTAGACACTACAGTAAGAGCTTCCTTTGGATTGGTTTTAGCAGATAGTTTCAGATGTTTTTGGCTTATTGTACAACATATGGCCAGAACTGATGATGATGGATCGTGCCATCCTTAACCCCCATTTCTCTCTTTTTCCTCCTGTTTTTTTTTTAAATGCAGATCTCCTTTTCCATAACTTTAGACTCTGAAGTCTAAGCAAAGAGTGGCTCATCTAAAATGGCTCGAAGTGGGATCAGAAGAGGGTTGTGTCCCCATTATCAGGTAAACACAGGAATGTCCAAGTCTGCCCACTATGGAGATTTGACTTTGGCAATTGCTACCATCTACAATAGGAAGGATGGTGCTAAAGGAAAAGGCCTCACCTGTGGTAATCCTTGCTGATGGAACACCTCCCAGGGAGGATGCTCTCATATCTACTTTTGGCACTGGATAAATAAACCATTTATTATCCCAAGTTGTTAACATGCCTTCTTGCATTAATTTGTTTTTAATTGCTGCTTTTATTCCAGAGCACCCAAAGACATCCCCAGGCTTGCTTAGCAGATATGAAGTTGCATTCATGGGAAACAGGTGATGGCTTGTGCCAGGGCAAGAAGGCTGCATGGATTTGCCTATAGCCACCACCTTTCTTTTCTTGCTTTTAGTGTTCCTTGTGAGCCCAAACTTCTTTTGCACTTTAGCATTTCTTCCATTCTGTGGTCATTAACCAATTGGGGCTACATCTCCATGGTGATTAGGCCCATCTCCCATTTCCTATGCACATCTATTTTAGGTCTTAGTTCAGCTGAAAAGTTCCTATGGATCTTCATCTGTTTCTTAAATGGCCCCACTCCATTTTTCTCTGCAGCTTTGGAGAATTCTGCCTCTTTAGACCTCAGATCTGAACTGCTATTCCGGCAGTTCCCTGTGGCACTTGGAATTCTGAATTTTATCAAGGAGAATTGCAGTTAGAAAAATATTTTTGGGTCGTCCATTTTGTTTAAGGGCGCTTCTCTGGCAAGGATAGGTCTGCACTTAGTGCTGGCTGAGAACAAACTGCCTTTTCTAACTGCTTGGCTTCTCTGTTTCTACAAGAGGGTTGAGCTTCTGATCATCATTAAAGAAGGCCTGGACTTGAGGTCAAGACCTGCCCTTTGCTCATAACAAGGGTGGATCCATCTTCCTGAGTAAAGAAAGTAGCACTGGAAAAGGAGTGCATTCCTAAGGTCATTAAAAAGTCACAGATTAATGTTGAATTGATATTATGTTGTATCTGAACAGGAGCACACTGGTTTGAGTGAGATATTTAACTTTTGAGAGGCACGCCACTGGCCAAATTTACAAAAGGAGAAACAACTAGGACAGAATTTAAACAGAATTTGATTCATTTTGAATGTCATTAAAATTCAGTTACCCAAACCTTGTTCTTATTTTGATTATTTTATATTTGATAATTTCCCCTCCTATCACACTGAAAGTTACAATTCTTAATATGACAAAGGTACAATTTGCTGTGATTCTTGGAGCGGTCTGGCTACCACACATATAGATTCGGGCAGTTAAGGGGGGGTAGTTGCATGCAGTAGCAATAACAATAGTACTTAAATTATATACCACTTCACAGTGTTTTACAGTCCTCTCTAAGCAGTTTACAGAGTCAACATATTGTCCCCAGCAATCTGGGTCCTCATTTTTACCGACCTCAGACAGATAGGAGGCTGAGTCAACCTTGCGCTGTTCAGAATCAAACTCCTGGAGCGAGGAATGAGTTAGTCTGTAGCCCCAAGGTCTCAAATGATGCACCTCAAGAAATGACAGTGCGGTGACATGATTGCTGTCTTAATGGCTGTCAAAATGGCTGTCAGAACATAAGGTTAAGAGTTATTCCAGCAGATAGGACAAGAAACATCGAGTTTAAATTACAAGGATATAAGGATTTAGTTTGCACTAGATTCTAGTTTCCTTCTACTTCTTACATTCTATTATTTTAAATATTGCCTTCCTATGACTTGATAAAAGTACTGGCTTCAGATGAATGTTGCCAAGCCTAGTTGATGGCTACAAGAAATTCTAGGCTTCAAACATAACATTTGCCAGATATATTAAAGATCATTAGTTCAGTCACCGGCTTTTGCAGTAATAATTTCCATAGCTGGAAAAGATCTCTTTTCCTGAAGTGTTGTGACTGACAATCACAGCAAAGACAAGGGTTGGCTAAAACATTGGTTGACATGCTACTCTAAGCTATGGCATGTTTAACCATGGTTTATTGAATAAGCTACAATTGGTTGAGTCCGCACAACATGCTAAGCCACGACCATCGCTTATACTTCAAAACGATTGGGTTGGCATTGAGACTGAGATGGGCAGCCACAGAAATTAAACAAATAATTAAATCAATAAATAAATTCTGAAATAGCATAATGGGTGGTCCCCTTCACAATAAATCAATTTCCATATGTTGAGTCGATGGATAGGACACCAACTGTGCAGAAATTGTTTAGGTATTGTTAAGTACCTAAATGTATTATCACCATACTTCTTCCCTTTTTCATTTCATTTTTTTTCTGCACTTTCCCCTCCAAATCCAGTTGCCTTTTTGCCCAAGATATAACTGACTTATGGAATCACTGCAAGGAGATTCAGTCAGGGGAGTGTATGAAATTAAAAAAAAGCTTGAGAGGAGGAAAGAATGGCTCAGCCAGAACCATTTGATGGAACCTGCCTATTAGGAGGCAGTACACCTCACAGTCCTGTTAATGTGTTCTCCCATCCTTGAAACAGGAGGCAAATACATCAGCCAGAAAACAATTTCCCAAACACCTTTTTTTATGCATTACAGGAAGAAGGCTTGTTGTGTTCCTGCTCTCACCACCAGCCTTGTATCCAAAGTGCTGGCTTGTTCCAATATCTCAGGGCAGATATGCAAAGAAGAGGATATACAAAGATATACAAAGAAGAGGGAGTCAAGCTGTTTTCCAAGGCGCCTGAAGGCAGGACAAGAAGCAACGGATGGAACACTAATCAAGGAGAGAAGCAACCTAAAACTAAGGAGAAACTTCCTGACAGTCAGAACAATTAACCAGTGGAGCAACCTGCCTCCAGAAGCTGTGAATGCTCCAACACTGGAAGTTTTTAAGAAGAGACTGGACAGCCATTTGTCTGAAATAGCACAGGGTCTCCTGCCTGAGCAGGGGGTTGGACTAGATGACCTCCAAGGTCCCTTCTAACTCTGTTATTCTGGCTATGGCCAGAAAAGTGACTGGCCCAGGGACTGATGGTGCTGCTCCTCTTCAGGTGGGCTCTTCATCCACCTGCACTGCTAGCTCCACTCCTGGATTGTCCCATGATGCTACTGCGGCCCCCTCTGCCCCTCTTCTACCAATGGTGGGTCATTTTATTTTTGTTCCTTCGAGTCAGTATTGACTCCTGGTAACTGTCTGTAGAAGTAACCTGATAATATCTGTCCTGCCCCAGATTAAAAAAAAAGGTTATTCTTTAGGCATGATTGCTTAAGGTATGCAAAGCATTTCTAAACTGTTTTTGCGCGTGTGTATAAGTAGTCAAAACAAATCTTTAAATATACCATTGCTCATAATTCTTCCTCTACAGACTAATTCCGGGAATTAATCAATTTGTAACTGTTGACTTTTAGAGACATAGCAGGCTGTACGCAGATGAACAATTCTATCATTAGTGATGCTTTAAAAATGCATAGTTTGGATATTTGGCAACTTAAACCACACTAAATCTTAGAGAATTCAATATGAGTTAAGATGCACGCACCCATCACGAATAGGTCTAGGATGCAGGGGGCAGTCCCTCAGACGTGCTAAGAAGAAAACAGTTACAGTGATTTAAATCAGTTTCTTTGTCATTCCTAGTAATTCTTTGCTCCTGGAGAATAGAGATCTTCATCCCCTCAGACGGATAAATCTTATTAGAAGTGAAAATAACTGGATTGGGAATCGTGCTCAGGAGCTAGAATTTGTGCATATTTGCAATTCAGCTGCAGGTTAAAAATCTGAATCCTAAATTTAATGTTTCACTTGATTATAAATTATATATTAGATTTTAATTATTATTTTCTATAGTTGCTCATTGCAACCAGTGCCTCTGGGTGGCATACATCATAAAAATATAAAACAATTAAAATAATACAGAATAATTATATGTGATTGTTAATATATGTTATGTACATAACATACAGAAAAAGTTTCTGATCAAGTCATAACATTGGAATCTAAATGCACTTCATAAGTTCAAATCTACACTGTAACATTGTTCCATTCCACTTTATTGGACTGCAATATAAATGTCTAGATTACTCATCTAATTTTTAAAATCAACCATACAATCTAGATGCATCTGGAATTAGAAATGGACTGCAGGTATATCAAGATGAATAAACAAAATGAAAATGACCATGGACATTTCTCCAATAACTTCTGTCTGTTAAATTTATGGATGAAGCAAAAGCCAAACTCTTATAAAAAGAAAGGAAGAGGGCCTCCCCCCCTTTTACAAGGAGGATGGAAGAGAGTGAACTATTTTCTATTAAAGAACTAATAAAAAAACCCACACTTAACCTCATTCAAAATTTTGCCTCTGAGGAAAGGCAGCTAACCTTTTCTTGGCTCCTTTCTAAAATGACTCCATCCTGTTATGATTGCTCTGCTAATCATTATCCTGTGTGATGTGGACTTTTTTTGTTAATTCTGACTAGGCATTTCAGTGAGATTTCAAAGGAAGGAAAAGAAAGTGTACAAATGGCTCAGACAATAAGGCAAGATTAGAGCTATACGATTCACTAAAAAATGTTGCTACACAGGGAAAACATATTGCTTTACACAGTAATATTAGGTAGCTAGGCTGTCCCAAGCAGTTGTTTTTGTGTTTTGGTGAAAAAGCTGCATTTTTACTTCTAGAGAAGCATTTATTATTATTATTATTATTATTATTATTATTATTATTATTATTATTATTATTATTATTATTATTATTATTATTATTATTATTATTATTTCTAGGTGCTTGTTGGTTACTCTGCCTCCAGTGCCCAAAAAATAATTCGATCAACTTTGCGGACAATACCATACCGTCTCGAAGGAAGATCTGTCGGTCTAGGTAGGCTAGGGAAACAAAATCTTACACCGCAGGTCAGCCACTTGTCCCGAAGCAGCCCAGCCCAGCCACTCCACCCCACCGAAACAGCAAGGGGGCGTCGCTGCTCCTTCCCCTCCCCCCGCAGATGCAGGTTCATCTGTTGCGCTTTTGGCACGGACTGCCAACAGATCTCCAAGATTTCAAGCAAACTTTCTCAGCCCCGGGTGGAAAGAGCGAGATCCAACAGGAAATTCTGAAGGCAAAACGGGCGCTCGCTCCCTCCCCCCCCCCCAACCACCTCGGAGCGCTTTCCTCTTCCTTCGTATTTATTTCAGGGAATTAAACTGCATCCCGGGGGAAGAAAGGCGTCGACGGCAGCCACCGGGCGTTCGGCGAGCGCCGAAGCCGAACCGGGAGCAGTTCTCCTTCTAGTCCGTCTTCTCCCATTAGTTCTCTCCCCCCCCCCTCCCCAGAGCTACTTACGATCAACGGCAGGGAGCAGATGGTGAAAAGGGCGGTCATGAGCGCCAGCAAGACCAACTGTCCCAGCTCCTCGGTGCGCCCGGAGGAAGGGAGTCTGGCAGGGGCGGCTGCGCCCTGCGGGTCAATCAGGTGGGTCCTGCGCGGGGGCTGCCGACGGGCCATCCGATAGAGGCTCCTCATGCTGCCCAGATTGCACAGGCCCACGGCCAGCACCAGCAAGCCCAGCAGGGTCGCGTAGAGCACCGAATAGAGCCGTCCGCCGCCGGCCATGCGAATGAAGCACCACGTGCCCGGACAGTACTGAACATTGCTGCCGAAGCCCAGGAACGGCAGGGCGCAGAAGAGCGCGCAGAGGACGGCCGCCGTGCCGGTGAGCAGCGCGCCCCAACGCCGGCTGGTGTGGTGTTCGTAGAAGTAAGGCTGGCCGAGCGAGAGCCAGCACTCCAGGGCCATGGCCAGCAGCAGCGTGGTGGACGCTAAGCCGAAGAAAGCCATGAGGAACGCGAACATCTGACACAGCGTGCCGGGGGAGCGGGTCGCTTCCTCCCCGGGGTGGCTGACTTCGGGGGCGGCGGCGGGAGGCCACAGGTCGATGAGACTGCGATTGTGAGCATAGGCGGCCAGCACGATCGGGCTCAGCAAACACTTGCCCAGCAGGTCCGTGGCGGCCAGGGTGCTCACCAGAAGATAGAAGGCGGACGCCCGCGGGCGCCCCTCGCCGCGCTGCAACTTTGCCTTCAGATGGTGCTGCCACAGCAGCCCCAACGCCAACACGTTGCCCAGCAGCCCCGCCGCGAAGAGTAATGAGCCGGGCAGCACCGACTGGCCTGCTTCGAGCCTAAGGGTCCTGTTGCACCGGTAGTCGCCTGTGGCCATGGAGAGGGTCCGGCTGGGCTGGGCGCAAGGGCAGCCGGTGCGCGTAGGGAGCCGGGTGGAGTGGGGACCACGGGTAGAGACCCACTTATGAAGGGAAGGGAAGGAAACGGAGGGGAAAGACGACGAGGAGATGCTCGACGCCGCCAGACGGGGCGAGAGTGGGGAGGAAGAAGGGCAGGGAGGTGGGGCAAGACAGGCGTTGGCTAACAGAACAAGGCCAGTCTATAATGCGGCGGCGGCGGGGGGAGCCGTTTGTTCCCACGGAGACCGGCGAAAGAGTCCTGCCCTTCTTGAGGAAGGGGAGGGGTGGCAAGCGAGAGAGAGAGAGAGAGAGAGAGAGAGAGAGAGAGAGAGAGAGAGAGCGAGCGCTTGAGGGCAGGTGACAGTTGTCTGATAGATAATCTTCTGACCAGAAACCTTGACTTCCATAGAATCGAGTCGATAGAAGTGACTGCTAGGGTAGCCAGAAGAGTTTTGCCAACATCTGAAATGAATGAGGTTTTTAGCCAGGCTTAGCACCAAACATTGTAGTAGGCAGAGGTCCATGTCATCTCAACCTCAGTGGAGACCAGAGTGATGAGTCGGTTGCCTTTCCAAGGCAGATGATGATAGTGCCACCAGAGCAGTGATGTGGGTTAGAAAGGAATTGGTCTTTCTCCAGCTCGGTTCTCATCACTCTTCTATGGCCCTGGCCCATCTTGTCAAGCAGCACTGATGAACATCAAAGGCCGAATATTTCTAAGTAGAATAAGATGCTCTTGCCTTGTCCAGTGGAGCTATTTTAGTGCTGGGGCCTGTTCACCCAGAGGAGAAGACCAGCAGGTCAAATGGCCAATTAGTTTTCCACACAGTTCTGAGAGTCAACTGAGAGCAGATCTCCTCCATACATACGCCTGAAACTTTTAATGATATAGAGCTTGCAGTGATTAGGAAATATGTAACTAGATCCATAATTAAGTATGAGCAACTAGATGCTTCGAGGAAACCCACACATATGGCAGAATCCCGATTATCCACTTTTCCCAATTTGAGGAGGAAGATAAGCTTCCGCCTCTTCTTGAGAAGAACGACCATAGCATTTAAGATATTGGAAGGAATGCTGTCTTCTCCCATGATTTCTGGAGAGGCTCTTGCTGGAATGTAGGAGTGGCCTCTTTCCTTGGTGACAGGGAAGGCAATAATATTTACCTTCAACATTGTCAACCGCTTTTGTTTCTGCGGTGCATCTAGAAACTTAGATGAGAAACCCAGATTGAGAATTTAAGTACTGATGGAGTTTTGGAGCCATCTCAATTCTGAAAGATATGAGGATTCTGCAGGTTTTTGTATTTCTTGAAGTGCAAGAAAACCCGAATCTAGCTAGTGGCTCACCTAAATTGGTTTTATAGCTGACTTTTTCATTAACAAAATGTCATATTCTGGAAGTGATTGTGGGTAATAGAATGGAGAAAAAAATACACAATTGTGTATCTTTGCTCTCCCTCTTCTCTTTTCAAATTATTTTCTTTTAACATAGGAAAAAAGAAAGAAATGAATTCTATGACACAGAATGAGTAAAGAAAAGGCAATTACTGAGTAAAGAAAAGGCAATTACTGAGAAACAGAATGTATTGTATTATGAGTGTAATAGTAGAGTTATGTAGCCAAAAGGCTGGATTTGTTTTCTGCACTTTTTTATTAAAATATTATTTCTTAAGGGTGAGCATATTATAACCCACTGTTGGGTTACAATAATATATTGTGATGCTAATGGTGTACCTTTTACATGAATAAAGAGTCCATGGGACTTGCCTAGTTAAGACAATTCCAAACTGAAGGGTTGAGATCTTGTTGGGATATATTTTTTTCTTAATATTTGGCTCACCAAATTCAAGATCACCCTTGTTCACCTTGATCATCACCAGACATGTTAGAATTTGACTCTCATATTTCCCAGAAGACAAAAACACTAAAGTTTGAGATGCACAGATCTAATTCAGTGGTTTCAATAAAGACGGGGCAAGGCACAAAATATTTACGTTGATAAGATAAATAGCTAAACCGTAAAGACCCAGGAAAAGTGGGAGAAGTGCCTTCTCTGTTCCAGCAGCTGTTCTCTGCAACAGCATATCTCCTGCAATCTGGAGAGATCTGACTCTGCTGGTCTTTTGTAAGGTTTTGGAGGATCTGGTTCTTCTCAGTCATTCAGACCTGATGTAAAAGACCCCATTTTTAAAGGGCTGATCAGTAAGTATATGAGCAGCTTTGGGAGCGATATGTTTTGTTAAATTGTTTATTATTTAGCTGCCCCGAGTCACATGGCACCAATAAATGAATAAACGACAGGGGAGATAAAAACTAAGAGCTGGATTGCTCATCCTGAGAGAGCTGCTGATGTCAGGGTTCAATTTAACTAGCTCTTAAAGATTATATACTGTAGCAGGACAGAATGGAAGGAAAAGAAGCTGCTTTAGGGAGGATGCAGAGAGCAAGTTCAGAAACATAACCACCCTCCCCACTGATGGGGCATGGGAGAGATAGAAATGGGAAGAGAGAAAGAAGAAAAGAAGGTTGTTTGGAACCAGCAAACTAAGAAACCCTCTTTGCTAAAATGTATCTCATAAACAAGAGAAACACAAAACTTTGGGTGAAGAATTCTAGAACGGTTGGTTGATTGGCCAATATGGAGAAGTTGGAAGTTTCAACTGTTCAGAAAGTCACCTGGTTTGTGAGTCTGTGGGAGAATTGGGGATAAGTCATAAGATAAGTCATAAGATAATCTCAGAGAAGGCAATTTGGCCCAAGGGGTGAGGGATCAGAGGAAAAATGCCTTAAAGAGACACCAACTTAATTCACTATAACTGAGCCTGGGAAATTTCTACGACAGTTTCCAAGATTCGGGACCTATTCCAGTACATTAAAGTATGTACTGAAATTGTGACTTGCAGCTTCCTTGGTCTTGCCAGCTATGTGGGACTCTACACTAATGCACATGATGGAGGGAAAATCTTGCTTGGATGGACAGGCAGAGAAGATTGGTGGTCTAACTCAGAAGGAGGGAACTTGGAAGACAGGGAGAACTTCTCCCTGAAACTTTATGCTGAGGCAAATTACAATTTGCAAGGGAGAAGGAAGGATTAGTTTAGTATATTCTGGTCTTTGAAGCTCTGTTGCATTTCATCTGTTGCCTGAGAAGCCAATGGTTAACTCTGAGCTCATCTCCTTATTGGACACTGGGGATTCATCTCCATTGAATTCAATAGTTTAGTGCTGTTTAACTTTATTAATGCAACTATGTGCTCTTCAAAAAACTGAGCTCTTATGAAAAACTTTTGGTGAGGAGGGAGAAAGAGGAAGAAGAAAGGAAGTGTTAACCCTTCGGGTAGACCTGATCAGGAAACAGGCAGAGCAAGGAATTCAGGAATTCACCTTTATTCCTGCAGGATATAACAAAGACGTCTTAAAAGCTGGCCCAAACATGCCCGTACCCTACTGATGCCAAAGAGAATCAAGGTAGGGTTATTTTGAGTTTCTTTCCCATGCCCTCTCCTTTTCTGGGACTGAATTGCCATTTATTTTTTTCTAAGAAATTCTTGAATTTCAAGGTTATGTTTCTATTGTTCTGTGAGAAGTGGGTGTGGAGACCCAGGTCTGCATACTAGGAAATTACATTAAGTATAGTTGTTAAAATCATTTCAGTAATGGTCAATGGTAAATAAGTAAATAAATAGTATTTCTGATATTGTTATTGCATTGCCTGCCCCTGGGCCTTTACTGTATATACCAATAAATTTGCTGAGACTGAAGTTGCTGATAAATTCATAGATAAAATATATTTTTATTGGTTTCCAAAAGAGGGAAATTTCCCCTTAGATGCCCCCTCACCTTCTTGGTGGAAGGTTTGGGAGCGGGCTTGATAAGAATAAATTAGCTGACATACTAGCATACTGATTCTTTTCTTTTTCTTTTGAAGATATCTTTAAAAGTCTTTATTGACTCTATTTACAGGGCTTCCCATCTGAAACAAATGACTCCAGGTGGCTAATAGCAAGAAGATTAATCGAGGACAGTCTTGGGAATGGGCGAGGGGGAGGGAAACAGAAAAAATGAAGAGATCCATTTGTAAGAGATGGTGGAGCATCAATTGAAATCGAGATTGAAATTATCCATTACTTTTGGACCTGTCTGTGTTATGCCTGGCATCCTTAGCTAACATCAGCTCTTGCTGTGGTTTTGCTTTCCTGATTTCATCTCTAAAGTTTCTTTAAACTAGCCATAGTGTTCCTTGGTGACCTGACCCTCTTTCCATCTCCTACAAGTGACTTTTTCTATTTTCTAGTCTTCACCAAGTTTTTTGTGCAGTCATATTGGTGTGTTCTGCCATCTGCATTTTTCGCATAATCGGAAAATGGGAACAAAGAGCAGAATGGTTAAAACAATGATATTTCTAGTAATTATATATGACTGTGAAAGCAGGATGCTAAGAAGGAGCAAGAGATGAAATAAGATAGAATCCTTTGAATTTATTATTCCCAAGATCGTGGATTTGGAGTTTGGTTCTTAACCGACCGACCAACCGACCGACCAATTCTTCATCAAATTACTGCCCCCCCTTCATGCTTAAGTCCATAATCAGCAAGCAAAAACTCATATGCTTTGGGCACATGAACTAGGAAGAAGGATTATGCATGGCAAGCCTGAGGAAATAAAAGGAAGACAGCAGATAAAATAGATGGACGGTAAGCAAAGACAGAATAACTGTAAGCACTATGAGTTCTGGAGATGGGAGGTGAGGGTAAACATTTTTCCAAGTAATAATGAGTCAGATCCAACTCAGTGCCATCTAAATAATTCTGGCCAGTGGCCAAAAACAGTGCAGCCAAAGGTCATGATGCCTGAGGCTCATGGAAATTGAAATCCAGCACTTTTGAAGAGCATCAAACTGGGGAGATTTGTTATACAGCATTACAAAATTGTGCTTCTTCCATTTTCACTGAAGTGAAATTGCTGGCTTGTCTCTTATCTAAAGAACTGTAGTCTTCTCTATTGTCTAAGTGTCCTAATGGACTACCACTTAAATATGAGTCAGCAGTATGCTGCAGCAGCCAAAAGAGCCAACACAATCCTAGGCTGCATGAACACAGGGATAGCATGAGGATCATGAGAAGT